AAATAAATAAATAAATAAGATAAAAATCTAATAAGCATCATCATAAAATCATGTCTGAGCAAACAAAACGGCACTTGCTGGAGTTCCTTCCTTATGGCTTCCCAACTTCCCTTCAATAAACAAATTATTTACTGGATTCTTGTGACATGAGCTTGTCCACCTGGCTCCATCCCGCCCATCAATGGGCCAGTTCACCTGACCACTGAGGACGGAGCGGGAGCGGAAGCCGGCGTCTCCGCCCTTTCTTGCGGGTACAAGCTGCACACCTCCATTTACATTCAGTCTTAGGTTTCAGATCAGGACACCTTCCAAAATGCCAGCAGCCCTCTGCAAACATCAGGCTGCGCCACGGCTCTTCCAGAAGAGGAAACCTCGAGTAACACCGGAAGACTTTTACCTGTCTGGCAACACCTTCCAGTCCATCCAGAAGGGCAGGTGCACTCGTTCGGGAGCAAACATCTCCCACTGGGCTGGCACGGTGGGCGGCAAACAGCTGTGGTGAGACAAACACACCAGTGACGTTTTGATCCCATCTCCTCTCTCTCCAGCAAACGTGCTGGTTGGTAAATCAACCAACACGCGGGTGGGTGTCATACGGCACAGTGGCCAGGCGAAGCTGACCAGCACAGGGTGACCAGCAAGCTGAAAATGAAGAGAAGCCGAGGGCACCGCTTCCGTCCTGACGGGCGGGAATGGGGTGAGCCAGGCCGGCCATCCCGCTCCGCCATGATCTGCTTCTCTCTCGGGGCACAGCATGTTATGGGAGCAGAGCCCCTGGGTTTGACTGATCCGGGGTTAGCTCAGCTGCCCGCCAAATATGATGGCTGAAAAGTTGTAATTAGCTTTTCAACGATCCTGGGGCCTCCTATGCAGCTCTGAGAGGGGAAAAGAGCTCCAGTTTGCATCGAGTGGACTTACTTTTGTCCGGTACCAGTCTTGGTTTGATATGCAGGACCCTCCCCGAGCAACCAAAGAGCCCAAAAGGGGTTTTCGCTCATGCTTCATGTCGACAAGACGTACCTGTGGGACATCCAAGCCCAGGGAAGGCGCTTCCCCCCTTCCACGCAGGGCGGCAAACGTATTCCGGCCGGGAAATCTTCCGATACTCCTGGCGATGGCTGACTTTATAGGTAGTTCTGCAAACCACAGAGCCCCAGATGTGAACTTGCTGGATACTTTGAGGTTTCGAGGGGAGAAAAGGAGACCGGAAGGGCCCGCTCCCCAGCCCCACAACTGCCCAAGTGTATTTATTTATACAAACACACAATTTATATTCCCCCGACTCCCAGCGACTCTGGAGGGCTTACAATTAAGAATAAGACACGGAGAAGGAATCGTGAACAGCTCCAAAAACCACCTGCGAGCCAAACAGGAACCCCCCCGACAGGCTCACCCCTCCACCTGCCCGAAGGCCTGCAGTATCTTTCTGAATGCCGTCCGGGTGGGACCGTCCTTTCCCCCGAGGTCAGACGGGCCCCCACCCAACTGGCTTTTTGGAAGGCTCCGAAGACGCGGCTTTGCCGTCATGCAGAGAGCCGGCGGTGGCGGCGTGCAGCCTGCAAGACGGCCGTACCGACTGCGGTGCACGGATAGCGCTTTCCCGCAGATCATGTTTTACAGCTTTAATTGTTTTAATGGGTTTTTAATGGTTTTATTTGTTGGGGTTGCTTTTTTGCGTTTGCTTGCTGTTATTTTAATTATGTGAATCACCCAGATTCACACGCGAGACGGCCAGCTATACGGTGGTGCCTCGGGTCACGAACTTAATTCGTTCCGCAACTCTGGTCGCGACCCAAATTGGTCGTGCCCTGAATCAAATTTTCCCATAAGGTTCAATGTAAATATGGTTAAACCGTTCTGAACCATATGTTTTTTTTTTTAAACCACAAAAATAT